AGTCTTTGGCAAAATTTGATGCACACGCCATTCCGAAATCGCAGGAGGGTCGGTGTAATGCACTACCAAAACGCCCGTAACTAATAAACAAATGCTAATTCGATGATGCCGGCTGGCACACTGATTCACTATGAATGTAGGCCGCACCCCCTAGCGGCAGAAGCTCGTACTACATCCGGTTCGCCCTCTATTGATACAGTCTTTAAACTTTCCGATCGCACCTCGTACTTGTATATCACCAACAATTGGTACCGAATAAACCCGGTACAATTTTAAACTTTCAGAATTGATACACTGTCAAATAACAACTTCTTTACATCCTTTTAGCCCGGAGCAACTAACCTTGAAACACTAGTCGTGTCTTGCTCGACCTTTATTACGTGTCAGCGGGCAGTATGAATTCAATCATGGATCACCTTTCATTAACTAAATTCTCGAAGCCGCTCTCAGTTACTTTAATAAGATTTGGAATAGCTACGGCGTCTCTCACAGCTGTATTCGATTTCGAAAAAGGAAACTTGTTCCATTCAGTCCGCACTTGAAGGAATGTAGATGGCAGCACGTGTAGGAAGGAGGCGCGTATTCATTGTTTGGCGTTCTATAAAATTCGAATTTCTTAATCCGTCCGTAAATGTTAAGCTACGTTATATTAAAGTTTATGTCATTTAAACATGAAACAAATTACGAAGATAGCTTGTTTTATGGGTTTCTGCGTCGTTTGGTAGATGTTTAACGACTGTTCCGGGATATTTACTATTTCTATCGCCTTGAGAACCTCAGATCTCACAGAGATATGATGTGTTGTTTTGATAGGGACAGGGTTCACTGAAATCTCGGTCGAGAGCGGCGCTGTCAAGAATTCTGAACACGGTCACGTGTTATTTTACTTCATCGTAATGATAATGATAGTAATGGATTTTGCCTCACGCAGATGACATGTGGCGCCGAGGATCCTAGTCTCAAAGTGGCTAGGAGGGGGAGAGACTCTGCCTTATTTGGTAGTGAGGTACCTGGCTGACTCATAGGAACCACAAGGTCCTGGCATTTAAGTCAGCAGTACGAAAAATGCGCTTATTATTATGTGAAATACATTAGCAGAGTTCTGAAGGGAAATATTTGTCTTTCGTGGTAGGCCTGTGGAATTTTCCAGATACAGCACTGGAACTAGAAATGCAGACAGCCAACCTCCAGCGACTTTTAGCTCCTGGGCGTATCTGTGGAATCGTGCTGGACTCAAGAGAAAGCAGCGGGAAAGTGAAGAAAGTGTTTTACGAAGAGGTTGAGTGTGCTCTTTTCCA